AGTAATTGTTTGCCAAGTCCTTCCATCATGAGTGTATTTGATTTTATTGTTTCCATAATCACTTCTAATATTATACCAAGAGTAAGTCATTGACAACCGATCAAGAGCAAGTTGGTGTTTTTTATCAGGGTCAAGTTTTAGAGATGGATTAAACTTTATAGTAAAATCACCAGGTCTGTTTGTTCCTCTTTTTTCCCTGTTTATTGAGGAAATGTGGATAGCTCGTTCTTCCATTTATTTAATAGATATATAACTTTTTAGTAGATCGTTAAGTTGTTTTTTTGAGATTACTTTCATTTGGTTGAGAAGATGTGCAATTTGAGAAAACTCAGGTATTACACCATTATTCCCAGCAAGAACTGAACCACCGAGTAATTCAAGTCTTTTTAGTAGTTCTTGTGGGTTGTTAAAGTAAATCATTCCAGAGCCAGATTTTGATTTATAAAGCTTAAGATTACTTAAATTTGTTGCATATATGCTTAATATGTTAAATTTATTTATAAAATTTATTTTGTTCTCATGTGGGTTTTTATTTATTGGTTTAGCTAAAACATAGCCGTTTGGGTCACGTTTAAAAATTGCAGTATTTTTTATTGCTTTACTAGTATCTTCTAAATCTTCGTTAACATCTTCAATTACTTTATCAATGGTAGAAACATCTTCTTTAAAATACTCAGAAGGAAGTTTGTGATATTCTTTAGTTTTAAGTATATCTAAATCTTTATTAGTAAACTTCTTCTCCAACATGTTTGTCATTTTATTAATTTATTTAAATCTTTAAACAAATAATTAATTTTTTTTTTACTCTAATTATAATATAAAAATGATTAGTAAAATAGTTGAATATGTTAATCTTTATTTTCCAACTTATAAAACATAACTTTACCCAGATAACTTCATTAAAGCTTGTCTAATATACTGTTATATCTTTCATCCATTTAAATCCATGTGTTGGGAGTTGTTGAGACATTGCCCAACCGTAAAGATTGTTTGCATCGAGATATTGAATATAACTACTCTCCTTATCAGGATTGTAATTTTTCATATATTTATTATTTGCTTCCGCATATCTTTTTGATATGTGTGTTATTCCACCACGTATACCTCTCTCAAACATCATTAACATATCATAATCACTTAGTAGTTGTAGATGTTGTCCTGTTTCTTTTAGACATGCATCCCAAGCTAGACCTGGAGATGTGTAATAGTGAACTGGATCAAGTTTGTAATGTTTGAGACAAGTTTTCCTAAAGTTTTCAAATACATCTGCTAGAAGTAATACATCAGATTTTAGGTAAAGATTGTGATAATCTCTTATTGTTTTACATTCAAATGTATTCCAGACTTTAATTGCATGTTGGTAATCTTCCTCACTAATATCTTCGTCATTAAGTTGGGAGTAGAATTCTTCTTTGGGTGGTAAACATGTTTCTGATAATTTATCAAGTGATGAAACATAATCATAAGGATAAACTCCCTTACGAGTTAGTAATTCTACATTTTTCTTGAATACATGTTTTGTATTATGAAAATCTTCTTTTGATAAATTTGAAACAAGATTGGCAAGTGATGTTTGAAGAAACTTGAATGAATCTAAAAATCGTATTTCAAAATTAATTGGGCACATTTTT